GACTTTTCTATAAATTTTAAAAAAATATTTTGCGATAATAAAATATTATAAAAAATTATATTTTTATTATAATAAAATTTTACATTTTCTTTAACATTTGTACAACACTAAGATTATAAAACAATTTATCTCTTAATATTAACCATGTTTTGGATTGTACTTCTTGTAATATGTTTAAATAATTTCTTAAGGATTCAGTTTCTGTTATTGTTGTTCCATGCCATTTTAAAAATACAGCTAAATAAGCTTGCGATAATTCAAAATCGCGTTTTCTTTCTATCATATAATAAATCATTTTCATAAAATGAAGTAATAAGATAGTCAATGTTTTTTCATCTGCTGAAAGTGATTGAATTTCAAAATCGATAGAACTTGGACTCATACATTTTAATTTTTCAATAATTTCTTGATAATTATTATTTTCTACAGATAGTAAAGATTTGCCAAATACAGTAAGACTTTGAAAATCAGGATGGACGATAAATTTCTTATTCGTGTCCGTATTCGTAACATCCGAAAAATCAAATCTCAATTCTAATGATGGAATTGTTGGTAAGAAAAAAGGAGCACTTTCCACTGTTTTAGGTACTTCTTTTGGTTTGTTTCTTTTTTTAACAATATCTATATTTAATAGATTCTGCCATCTAGAGTGTGCTAAACCAGACATTGTAATAAGATTATCCTGAATTTGTTCTGGAGAAATATACTCCAATTCTGGTTCAGAAAGTTCATCTTCTTTACTATCATTAATTTCTATTACCGAATTGGGAAGTCCGATCATTGGAATCGGATCATCTTTATTTATTGCTTTTAAAGAAATATGGGAATAAAGAGTGCGATTCGACCATAAATATATACCTAGATTACACACATGTGTTGTAGCAAGAAATTCTCCAGTTGGGGAAAAATGTAATGATGTACATGCTTCTGGAATCTAAAATATTATATTTGACTAATATTTTCGAATTTTTGTAAATTAATGATATTTTAAAATTAAATCGAGTTTTACTAATTTTTTATATACCTGAAAAATATCTATTAAATTAGAAGAAGGAATATCCCATGTACAAATTGTACAATCCATAGATGCTGTTATTAACCATCTTGAATCAGGATTAAAACATGCATCTGTCAAGCGCCCTTTATGTCCTTCAAAACGTCGAACAATTTTTTTAGTATCAAGATCTATTAATACAATACTAAAATCTTCTAATGCTACAGCTATAAGTGAACTTTCATCATGATATCGTATCCATTCAATTGGCTCATCTAGTATCATTTTTGCTAGTGATTCTGTATCACCTTAAAATTAAAATATTAATTATTATATTTTATTATTTTCACATACATCCTTTTTAATACATATGATATAAAAATAATTCATTTTTTTACCTATTTTTGGTTTAAAATTCCAATACTTTATATATGCATCTTTTCCAGCTGTTATTACAACTTGATTCAAAGGATCTACCATTACACCTTTTACAGGACCTTTATGTGCTCCTTTATCAGTACCATAACTAGCTCTATGGATTCCTGATTGTATATTAAATCTTTCTACATATCCATTACTATATCCAATAACAACAAAATTTCCACATTTTGTTAAACATACACTGCTTGCAGTAATATTATGATTGCCTTTAAATTTTTCTGGAAATAATTTATATTCTCCCATTCTTGTTTTATCAAAAGACCATGTAGTAACTGTACCCAAACCAGAATGTGTTGCTACAATGTTATCCCATTCTTTTTCTCTTGTTACTTCCATAGCAATTTCAGTAATTGGTGGCATTTGTAAAGGATCTTCAACAGCTCTTCCTCTTTTTTTTGCAGCTTTTCTATTAAAAGATGCTCTTCCTAAACTTTTATTTAACATTTCTGAAATGGTAGAAAATAATCTCACAGAAGAATCACTACCAGCAGTTATTATATTTTCACCTTCATTGCCATAAAAACGAATAATAGTAGGAGGTTCTGAATGAGCTTCTCTAATTCTTAAAAGTCTTCCAGCTCCATCAGCTAAATCAAATATCCATAATTTTAAAGAATTATCAGGAGAAGATGATACTAAGAGTGGTTCATTGGGTAAATATTTTAATCCTGTTACAGCTCCAAAATGAGCTTTATGAAGTTGACTTTCTACTTTACGTTGCTCTAAGTTCCAAAATACAATATGACCATCTAAACTTCCTGTAGCCATAATTGGATGTTCATCTGTGCGAAAACTAATGGATGTTATACAACCCCAATCTTGCATTAATTCAAAAATACTTTCATCAAATTTTAAATTATGCAATATAATTCTTCCATCATTTAAACCAATTGCTACAACATCTATTGCCGGTGCTTGTTCAAGTGCAGTAACTGCTGTGTTCCAACCATTAAATGTATAAACTGATTTTAAAATTCTCAAATTCCATAATTGTAATTGACCTTGTTCACTTCCAAATAATACTTTGTTTATGTAGGTATTAGGATGCATTAGTGTTGTAATTTTGAAATGTGTATTATTAAAAGTAAGTTCTGTTATTAACTCTTCTGTTTTAATATCCCATATTTTAACATTACTATTTTCATCAACAGACACTAAATGCGGTCCAAAAGGTAATAAAGTATGCACTGTGCAATCATGACCTTTGTAGATATGTTTTATTTCTGATCCTCTTCGCCAAGCGTATATTTCATTTTCACATGCTGTATAAACGTGATAAACATCTCCCGCAAGACATGTAATTTCACCTGGATGTACTCCTGATACACTAAGAAGTGTAAAGTGCGAACAACTATATGTATGGAATGCATTACCTGTACACGTTACTATAAGATTTTCTTTTCGTCTTTTAATATATCTCGTGATGAGAGGAATATGATTAGAAACATATCCTAATGCTCGATTTCTTAAAAATATTTTACTATGTCCCATTGTTCTTTTTATTTTAAGTAAAAAATAATAAAGTATTTCATCTAAAAACTTAGGTTAGAATATACAATCATGCTTTCAATTCAATGGAAGCAGCGATTATGATGAAAACCATAGACTACTTTATTCAATAAGAGTGCACTCAAAATAATTTTTATAGTTTCTTTGAATATATATTTCCATAAGAAATTTCCATGAGATTCATAATTTTAAAGTGAACATATTATTTTAGAATATACTTTTCTGAAATATTTCTATAATATGAAAATAATGTATCATTTCGTATAATATTAACCTAATTATTTGTTTCGATAAAATTACAATTTTACAATTGTTATACTTTTATTATAACAATGGTTCAACTATTTATAAAATATTCTGTGTTATAATATCGTTTAGATATATCATATACGTAATAATATATTTATTTAATAACGATAATATATATATAAAGATTAATATGCCAAGTGAAAATATAAATTTTATATATAAGGAATGAAATAAAAAAAGCATCATTAATAGTAAGTATTTTCTTTTTTATAATTTCATTTCAATTATCCGTCACACATTTTCACGGATCCATATAAATCATTTTTATGCTGATATATATATAATATATGTATAAAACATATTATATATCAATATCTATTCTATAAAATCAAATTTTATTTTTTTTTTACAACAAATATGTATTAATTTTAGCGAATATTAAATACAATGATAACAAATACATTCATATCACAAGTAACATTAAAATAATTGTACATTATTACTTATCAAATATTAAAATGTAAAGTATAACTTTATTAAATTACGATTAATAACACTTAGACTATTATCTACAAGAAAAAGATGAAAAAAAAACAATCATATTTGTAATAGAAAAATAATATACTACATGCTTAAATATATTATATAAATAAAATATATTATATTATATAAAATATATTATATAAATAATTTTAAATATTACATGTAAATTAAAAACAAGAAATAAATAAAATAATTATTAATTTAATTATTCGATTATCAGAATATTTACAAATGAATATAGGATATTTATATATTTTTTATGGAAGCTTATCTTTATATAATACATTCACGAATCAAATTCCTTTTTAGCGAATTTACGAAAAAAAGAAAATATTAGTGTAACAATAAATTTAACACGATTCATTTCATACGAAGCTGTTGTGAGAATCTATCTATTTATGAATTTTACGAAAAAACGAATAATCTTTCGTATAGTTTTGCAGTCTTTGGCTATAGGTTTCGAAAACTTATTCCGTTCTTTATGACAATTGGTTAAAGAATCGGAAGAGTTTTGGAAATCCACGGGGAATTTTCACACAATTTTTTTGCCATTTATTGACAAATCTCAGTTTGTGTGCCCTTTCATTTGGTACATGTCAACGAGCAAACGCGAAATAGGAATTTCGCCGATGGTTTCGTGAAAAAATAAACGTTCAACCAACTTTGGAAAAATAGACGTCAAACGACCAACCACGTGCATTAATGTCCCGCTTCTACCTGGTTGTCGTTGATAACAGGACTTCGTGTAATCTCCTAAAATACATTGAGCCTGATCTTGTAACATTTTGATCGACTCAGTGGCATGAAGACCTTCTGTTTCTGAGAAAAGAACATGTCATTGATAATAGAGATTTAAAATATTTTTTCGCTGTATTAATTCTATTACATATTTAAAATATTACATATTTAAAATATATATATTTATTAAAAATATATAATTTTTTTTTTTACCAGAAATCAAAATTTTATTACCTGGAGTAAACAGTGCTACTGCTTTCATACATCCCCATTCACTTCTATCTGGTGAAAGTTGCCTAAAACGGCATATTGTATCCTAAAACATAAGTATATTATCCATATGATTTTTAATATAATTAAATTTAAAAATAAATATATGATATATATATATATATATATATAAGATAAATTGATTTTTTACGATGGAAAGAACAAATGTTTCATTTAAATGATAATTTTGAATAATTACCTGAATTGTAATTAATTGTTGATTTGTTGTAGCTTCGTCCGGTAATCTTGCTCGTACCTGTTCATCCTCCAATAAGCCGGTAATATTCCAAGATATGGACCATTGTGCTAGATGAAGAAGAAAAAGTTGTGTCCAGGAACCTTCGAGTAATAATAATTGATCGTTCTTCGAAAGTGATTGGAATAGAGGTAGGCAACAAACCCATCTTACTGCCATGAATAATAAACGTGCAGTAGTTTCCTGAAATTTTTTTTTAGTTGATTTTTGATGTGCGATAAAATATTATAAATGATAATATTATACAATATTATTTAATTTTTTTTATATTTGATATACTTACCTGTAATAGTTCTCGCGTAGGATTGGGATTTGGTAAAGTTCCCGAAGAATTATGACTACCTTCTGTTTGCTCTAAAGAATATTCTGTTTCCGATTGTAATGGTGCATTCCATACGAGTTCCTTGTAAATAAAAAACGAACAGATATTTAAAAATAAAATAGATTTAATAATTAGTAGTATCACAATAAAAAGAAAAAAATATTTTATTTCAAAATACATTCAAAAAAATTTTAAACGAAACTAATTTTATAAAAATAAATCCTAAATAAAAACATGGCATGTTCACAATCAGTTACGTTTAATTTATCAATTTCATCGTGTGAAAACGGTGAAATTTGTCAGATTGCTGATTATAAAGTTTGCAAAGTTTGAATTACTTACTTGACACTGTTCCGCAGACATTAGTATCTGAAGAAGGGGTGGTTGCGGCGTTAGGGCGACGCTCGAGGGTGCTGAATACAAAGTCGTGGTCGAAGGAGAATGTGGTAGAGCCAATGGTGCCGGGGACGAAGAATCTTCTGGTGGTTTCTGAACTAATGCCACTGGCCGTGGATAAGGCGAAAACCTTTGGTCACACCTGAACTTTCTGCACACATTATCCTTAGCGTCCTTTTATTCGAGTTATTTAAATGTAAATACTAAGAACATGATTTCGTAATATTTCGTACATTTACAATAAATTATGGTTCATGTTTTATTATTTTAATTATTATTTTTCATTCTTTTAATTTTAAAATAAAAAGTTGAATCATTTTTTCATAAGATTTTTTTGTTTAAGTAGTATAAGTCGATAATGTGTAAGCCATTTATTTCAAAAATATAAATACAACAAATTTTAAAGATTTAGCAGAGCTTTTAAAAAAAAACTTTATACACACCTTTGATGTAACAGAACATAAGGGGAGCTAAGGCCAGCCCGTAATCGATCATTGTGTAAAGGTGGCGCGATTGGAGATTGTTGTTGGGGTTGTTTCGGCTTTCTCGGACCTCGTTCATGTTGTACCGCTAAATATTAATAATAAAGAATTTTGTTATTTTTATTTTTTGAACATTTAATTTTTTAAACGATTTTCTATAATATTTTTTTACAATTTTTTCCTTAATAAAATCATTTCTTTATATATTTTATATTTTCTAAATTTATGTATCGTTAAGCATTTTAAAATAAAAATTCAAAAATAATTAATAATGAGAAAATTCGTAATTCAAAAAGAAGAAATTTATTTCAATACGTGGAAAATTATTTTTTTCTTTCTTTTACGTATAATTTTCGTATATGTCAAATACACAAGAAGCTGAATGATTGATTTATGAAATACACCTTCAATGTAATCACAAGTGATCTCTTAATGCCGGAGTACCATCTTCAATGGTTCTATTGATGCCACTCAAGTGCTTAATAGGGGAAGCAAAAAAGACCCGCGTAGGATTGAACGTAGGGTTGAAGATTCCTTTAAATACGATAAATTACACTTTAAAAGAGTCAATCGTTTATCACGTTTTACTGTTCTATAAAAACATTTACATCATTCAATATCTTTTAAATATCTTTGTAAATAAAGATAAATGAAGAAGGATGATGAAAAATTATTAGAAATGATTTATTCATTATTTAATATATTAAAAAAAAAAAAATCAAACATTTGATACTACGTAACATTCAACGAGAAGAATAAGATTTTTGGAAAATTTCAAATTTGAAATATATATATCTATATAAAAATTCATATATAAATTATACAAGATCATATTTCTAAACTCTATATATCGAATCACAATTCAATTTCCTCCTGGAAAATTAAACTCGAGCCCGCAATTCCACCACGATCCTGCCACGATCTCTCGCCTCATTTGCGCATCGATAAAACCTCAAAGTTTCTCGTTCACCCATTCGTGATCGACCCATTCCTCTCCCCTCCTCCCCATCCCCGAAGAGGAAAAGCAACGGAAGCCCAACGATTCAACCAAGATCATCTCGAGGAATCACAAATCATCTCTCGCGATACTACGACCCCCTCCCTTCCTCTCCCTCCGATCTTCCACCGGTTTCCTATTAATATCGCCCAAGAACTTAACGGTGGGAGCGAAAAAGAGTGCGCGCAGGTTGCGCGGAATTGAGTTGAGGGGGAGTGGTACTGTTCGAGATGTACGAGCTGTATTTCGTGGCTCGTACAGGCTGGTTGGGGAGGAATGGCGCGGTGGGTCGAGAGGAGGCCTGTAGGAGGGTTGAATCTAGCGGGAGAGGGAGCGAGAGGGAGAATAGAGAAATGAGAGAGAGTGAACGCGATGGCTAACCGGGCGTCAGCTTCTCTCTTGTCAAGGCATCGCGAGAAAGGAGAGAGAGAGAAAGAGAGAGAGAGATGGAGTAGCAACGGAGAAAGACAGAGGCGTACACACGTTGAAATATGTAGGAGGGTGTCGATGTATGCGTATGAGAGAGAGGAAGGGAGGGAGGGAGGAAGAGGAAGAGAGAGAATGGAACTGCAACTGGGTGGCAAGCACATCATCATTAATGAGGCTGAGCGGATAGCAGCCGTGGATTCCCACGTTCGCACTGGCGTCGCAATATCCGCGCTTTATCCGACCTCTCTTTGTGCCATTGGCGGCGTAAGTATCTCTTTCCTTGATCCGACTGCTGACGACGAGATCGCGTGCGTGGAAGAGGAACGAGGGGTTGGAAGGAGGTCAGAGATGGGAAGGGAACTGTCCTTTTTGTTTTTCGAGCAATTAAGGTTCCCGAGCAATTCGGTTCCTTTTTGCTCGAATGTCTTAGATGTTTCGTTGATTGGGAAATTGTTTAATGAAATAATTTTAAAGAGTGAGTACACGTGTATACGATGCAAGTAATATTGGAATAGTCGATTAAATATACGATATAGTCGATTGTTTTTGAATAAGTGAATTAGTTTAATTTTAATTTAATTTAATTTTTAATTTTTAAGAATTATAAAGAAATGTTGATTAATTGATAAAGAAGTGAAATGTTATATAAAGTATGAAGAGGATATGTATGTAATCAGTTGGAAAGTAAGGCGAGATGAAATCCGCTTCGGGTCTATTTGTTTTATCGAGTAAATTGGCCGTGCATCGGAACAGGTACAAATATTATTATTTTCCGAAAGTAATAATTGTTTTTTCATCGGAGAATTTTCAGCCGAGCGAAAAAACCAGCAGGAGCCGCGAGCTTGTTTGCTTTGTAAGCAAAGTTCCTCGCATGTTGCACGCGGTCGAGATATTAAAATATAAAAATTATTTTTAAAAATGTTCTCCCTTTTCTTCTCTTCTTTTTTTCTCGCCGGATAAGATAATATCATTTCGAGTTAATAATAATTTAAAATTTTTATAATTTTATCGTCATCAATATTATCATTTTAAAATATTATCAGATATATAATTTTTAAATGTTTTTCAAATAATTTTATGATGATATCGAATGCAATACACGTATTCTTTTTATCATATATACATATTATTTTGCTTATCGTTGCCTTTATCTCGCATGCGCAAAATTATAGAGCGAGTATTTTTTTTCCCCCTCCCCCCTTATAATAAACTCCACTTTTCCTTTTTAATCCATATATATTTACAAATGTAAAATTATTTTGATAAATAAAACGAATTTCAATAATAAATAAAATAATTTTCAACAAATATATTGATAGATATATTAATTTTATATTGATCTAAAATTCATATTCTAATGATAGTTTGCAAAATTAATAACATCCAATCCAATCAACCTAATACTCAATCTTTTTAATAATCTCCAATTGATAAAATAATCCATCCATCTACAAGAGCAACAAGAATAAACCTATTATACCTATATAAATCAATTGTTACGAAGTCTCAACAACAAGATGCATCGACGAAAATCGATAAAAAAATCCAGAGAAATAATAATATCATGCAAAATAGAATCCGTGCGCACACGACGGATAAACATGGTTGATCGTCGCCGAGGAACAAAATCCCCCTCCCCTTCCCCTTCCTTCCTCCCCCCAATTTCACCCCCCGATGGCCGTGTCTCAACGACGATCCGACGAGGGCACGTTCCTCTTAATTCGTCGGGACAATTTTTCGCCATGGGGGGTTGGGGTGGCTTAAGGGGG